TTTTTTTTTTTTTTTTTTTTTTTTTTTTCCATCAACAGCACAAACATGTCTTAAAATATGAACATATTAATCAATAGAAATGTAAGAATAAATAAAAATAAAGTTTTGAGTGAGCAGGCTTTATGAACGTACCTTGTTTAAGTAGTTCACCTGCAAAATGCTTCCTCCTAGCACAATGGCCGTAAAAAACCACGTCTCAAAGTACTTAAACTGATTCATTCCTGAAAATGTCAGCTTGAGTGCAATTCCAACTGCTTTGACGCTCATAACCTACAAATTAATTCAAAGTTGATTGAAGATATGAGAAAAAAGATTGAAACTTATAAAATGCATGAATTTAAGTGATGGCAAACAAACCGTAAGAGAACCCATGAGAGAACAAATTCCAACATAAACAACCATGTGCGTTTGTCCATATTTTGGCGCGTATCGAACAAGAACCACAATTAGAACCAAAACTATGATGGAGTATACTAGAAAACCTGGTAAGAACCAAATTATTGTGTTAATAATCTAATTGTGATTAAATTACATGGGTGAAGTAAAAAACAAAAAAAATACAATGGATGAAGGAAAAATAAATTACAATGGATGAAAAAAATAAATTACCTTCGGGTTGGTAAAAAAGGGGACAAAAGGTAATTTGGTTTCAACTTTATCCTTAATGTTTTAAAAGTAACTTTACCACAAACATTTTATTTTCCGTTATAACTAAAACTTTTAAGATGTTAGGATAAAATTAAAAACAAATACATTACACAAGATATTCCATTATATTACTCTGTTGTTTATTGGTTAGATATTGTACTGTAAACAATCAATTCTAATCAATTCTAAAACAAGTGGAATGATCGAGGTAAAATAAAACTTTTTAAACATTACAGAAAAATCGAATTAAATTACACTAGTATGGAATATTAGTATAATTTAATACCATAAAAAATAATAATAGGGAGGTCATGACATTAATTATAAATAAAGAATCATGTAAAACCATAGTTTGAGTTTAGTCTAGTCCAGATAGTGAGGGTTATATTGGTACATAACAACCATTTTCCATGGAATTGTTACATTGGGTCAAATGGTAAATCTAGAAGGAGATTTATAGAGTAATTATTAAAAAAAAAGGGAAATTTTTATTATAATCATGAAATTAGCAAGTTGAATCTCTCAATATTTACCTATTTCAACAAAAATAAACCTCACATCACAAAAATTTAAAACTGATCAATGCATGACATTGAAGATGGAATAAATCTTTCAAAGATCACAATTTTTTTAAAAAAAATATAATAACTTCAACATTGTTTTTCTATAAAAGGTTCATTAATTCTGTACTAAATATATAGTTTATATTCATTGAAAGCACGTGGAAATATTTATGAATGATTTTTCAAAATGAAAGTCAAGTTTAAGGTAAAAAAAATGTCATTCCCTATTAAAAATGTCCCCAATCTTCGATCAAAACTACCCAATTGGGAAGAAAAATGAGGATATTTTGAGTTTAATGGTGTGACAACTATAAAAAAAACATGCAAACAATGAAGCATGGAAATATAATATGGTGAAGCAAATGACAAACCTGGCTCTGTAGCAAGCATCCAAACTTCCTTGACAGACTCAATATTTCTCTCCTGTGGAGCATGCAAAACAATAGTTGTAGATCCCACCACACAAAGAACACACCCTAGCATTCCAAAGATATGTAGCTTTTCCTCCAGAATGAAATGAGCGAGTACTGCACTGCATAATGGCGTCGCTTAATTAAATTACTCAACTCCAAGCATACTTAAACAAGGGTGTGAGAGTTCTTTATTTATAATCATGTCGAGGATCAAATAAATGAAAAAACAATAAATGGATACAAGATATTTTCGTATCATGAAATAGCAAATATGATGGCTACGTTAAGTCGTAGTGAAAGACAAATATCTCAATATTTACTTATAATAAAAGATCAAATATAATATATATGGTAAACTACAGTTGAGGACTAAATATCCTTCCTTCCTATGAATGTATTCTGTTTCCTATGAGCACATTACAGATGTGCATATAGTATCTAAGTATTAACTGATATCAAAAAGTACAAAAAAAAAATGGCTTGAATTGATACATACCTGAAAATTATACTCAAAGCTCCCAAAGGAGTTACGAGAATTGCAGGAGCATATGCATAAGCAGCGAAATTAGCAATCTCTCCAACAATCACTACACAACATGAAACAAACTGATTTAAAAGCAATCTTATGTGTTTCTTGCCTCTTTGTTTTGGTGATTAAAGAACAGAACCGTGAGAATTATGTTCTTCATTGTAATTACTAGTGAACCTGCAAATGCTCTTGCAGTTATCCAACTCCAAATCGCTCTTCTCAACAAATAATGACTCAAGAAGCCTTATAATGATAGAGAAACTCTGGAAAAATTCAGTCATTATTACGTTTATGAACAAAATATTACCAATACCTCAAAAAGTTGGAACAAGTTAGCCAAAAACGAGCCTGTCCTTTCTTTTGGTAATCAAATACTAATATGCTTTTGCCTAGAGAAAGGGAATGAAGAACGAAAAGGAGAGGGACGCTTTACTTAGGCTCTCACAAACGGTGAAGAAAAAGTTCTAATACCGAAGAGAAAAGCATTAGGCGCTACTTACTTGCACCTTATCTTGTAGCATTCACATTCTAATCTAAGGATGCTTCGACTTCCTAAATCTTAACTCTACTAGGAATTGGAAAAAGAAACACTTCAAGAGATGAATCAGCTGGAAAAAAGAGATATTAAACAGACAGGAGCAGATTTTGAAAACTTTTCCGACAAATCTGAGTCAAGTGCAAGTGCAAGCGCAATAATGCTTTCAAGAGAACTGCTGCTAGTTGTTAATCGAGGTTTGAACAGGATAAAATTATCATAAGTAACCAAATAAATGAAGAAGAACTTACTACTGATCATTCCAGCCCACCACATAGGTTCATACAAGTACGAATATCCTCCTGAACCTGATCACACGAAAAGAAGTGCAATTAAACAGAAGACATGAAGAGAAAGAGCAAAAATATGGCGAAGAATTCTAGATAAAGTTCAAGATGTCGATCCGAAACCAACACAAAAGTCGCTATCAAATCAGTAACAACACACATTGCTTCAACTTTTACGTAAACGTGAAATTCAACCAATAGATGCAATACATCAAATCGAAACTCAGAGGCGATCGAAAATGCTAGAAGCAACCAAACCTGCTCTGTTTCCAACAGCACCGGCTTTCATAAGACCTTTCTTCTTGATAATGAAGCTACTACCGATGAAGATACTCGAAGAGACGGCGAGAATGAAACCATGGACGTTATCGGAAGATATTCCCATAGCTTATACAAACAAAAAGAAAGATTCAGTGGAAATCTTCCAATGCCGAAATAGACGATCCGGTAAGTTCCTGCGAACATGAACAAATTCCTTTAGAGAGAAAGCAAACGACGAATGCATTACTATTAGTGAGTGAAGCTAATTGCAGATACAAAAATGGCGAAAATGACAGAAATTAGACCTTCATAGCATCAAATTGTTGATGGATTTGGAAGCTGGAGATTGAGGAAGGAACGATTCGGATACGAGAGTGAACGGAATCGGAAAGGAGATGAAGTGGCAGAGAGGGAGAGAGAAAGGGGAGCGTGGGAATTGGAGGCGCTAAGTGGCAAACGGTGAATCCGTTACCTCCGCTTTTTGTTTTTAATTACAAAAATGTGTCCCCCTCTCCGGTTTATTTTATTATTATTTTATTCAATTTTCCGCATAATTTTTTTTATGTACTTTTTTTCAAAAAAAAAAAAAAAAAACCCTTAAATATATTGTCATTGATTTTGCTTTAATTAATATTGTCATTGATTTCACGTAATTAATTTTAGAGCAATATTTATTATTCTTTATTTATGATAAATAAATAAATAAAATGTTGTAAGTGTAAGTTATCAAATATTATCATAAATATAATGGAAGTTACGTCGTCCAGCTTTTAAGGAAAATGCTAGTCACATAAGATCAATACATATATATTTTTATATTTTTTTTTAGAGATCCAATTTTTAAACTTATTTTTAAGGAAATTTACAATTAAATAGATAACTTTCTACAAATAATCTCGATTTAAATAATAAATCAAAAAAATTATTATTTCACGTTCAGTGGCTTGTTTAAAAATCAATTAAAATAACTTTTTTTTTCCAAAGAAATTTTCAATTAAATAGTTTTTTTAATGAATTTTTTATTTTTAATTGTGTTAATTATTTGGTATCCGAGAAATTGAAATTATTTCATGTATAGTTGTTTGTTTAAAAATTTAATTTTCAAATAAGAAAGTTCCTCAAAAACCAATTTAGAAAGTACCAATTTGTTTGGTCAGATTTTCAAAGAGTATTATGAACATAACTTTGAAATGACTCTCTCTTAAGATCTCAACTACCCTAGCCTAGTTAGCATAGACATGGTGACGATTTATGCTGTGAGGTTCAACACTAAAGCTCGGTGCTCGGTTCCTTCAGAAACAATAGACCGAGCACGAACTAAGACATGGACATGGACATCCACCTCGTCCAAGCTGTGAGGTTCAACACTAAAGCACGGTGCTTGATTCCTGAGGACGAACTAAGACATCGACATCCACCTCATCCAAGTTGGAACCCAAGTTCGAAACCAAAGGCTGCAGCTCTCATACCATCGTTTTTCAGGTAATCCTACCAAGAAATGATATGAAAAGGAGAGAGGAGAAGAAGGGGGAACAAGCACCAAAGAGAAAAGGCCAAACAATATCCTATTCCAAGGCACAAAACTAGCAAACGGGCAAATTATTTGAACAGCATATACTAATATTCGCCCACAAACAATCCATCCACCCTCAATTTCATCAATCATGGTGGTTTAGCTTCCCTTTTCAGACTCAATCACATTATGTCCTACAAAAAGAAGTCTTTCTTGAGGTAAGGGAAACAGAAGATAAAAGCTTGTAGCACAGCACAGCACATACATCCAGTATCAGCAAAAGAAAGCTTTCCTAGCTCCTCAAACACAACCGAATCGAGACTAGAGGTTCGCTTCGATCATATAGAGCTCATTTATTTATTTTTTATAAAGAAATCCACCAAAATAATAGAAACCAAACCTAGGATCTAAAGAATCTAATCAAGTAAACCGATATAGATTATCTTCTTCAACCAAGCATACAAAATTACCTGTTGTATATATATATACATATATATTTGCAATTCACCAAGAACAGAAAAGCTTCCAAGTGAGACAGCCATTCTGATCATACCCAGAAGATGAGATTTTGATGCATTTTATCCCAGCAACATTTGGTTTCGACCTTTAACGGTAGCTTCGCCTAACGAAAGTAAGATTTCGGAGATTGGAGGAGAAGAGGAAAGAAAAAGAAAAAGAAAAGAAAAAAGAAAAAAGAAAAAAGAAGAAGAAAGAAGAGATATGAGGGAAGAAGACAACAGTACCACAGCAAATTGCAGTGCATAAAAGAAGAATAAGATTTCCTAAGCATACTAATCAGTGTAAACGATCCAGGACTTAAATGGAAGCTTGCAGTTAATAACTTCCCACTGCAAAAGCATACCTTTGTGTAAACAAGAGAAAATCAACCCGAAAAACCTCCAACGACAATCACCCCGATTAACCTGCATGTATATTCATAGAACAGGTCCAACGCCCATTCGAATCGATATTAAAATGAAACCCATGCATTGGCCAGATCAAAAGAACTTGTGAGCACTAGAAATCCAAACATAAAACATGAGGTATTTTGATTTAGTATAGGAAGAACCCTCGAAATAAACTTCAGTCCCAACCATAGTTACCCTTTCAGCATCGAAAAAGAGAATAAATAACCAAAGAAAAGTAAACAAGAAAAGACGAAATACGAACGTACTTCAATTCCCAAGGCATCAATCCTTGTGCAGACAATTTTATCGCAAATTCACCATGAAACAAGGAGGTCATAGAGTTCAACATACATCAAGTATTAAAAGAAGCTCGCTACAGATACTGGGTGTCTTGTCTTGTAGACAAAAGGACAGCAAGACTTCAAACGCTTAAAGCAGACCAACTTCAACCTGCAAGAGATGATCAAAGACAAAAGACATGGATGAAAACTAGAAATCAGAAAAATTTTCTGAGCACCCAAAGAAATGCAAACAAATCTTCTATCAAGTAGCCCTTTCTCATATGATGCAATGGATGCCTTTGGATATGCCATCAAGCCCGGCTAAAATTGCTGAGAACGAAATTTGACCCGGGTTATGAAGGTATTCAAGTCCGCAACTGTTTTTGTGATTTATGAGATACACTAAACTGCTTCCATGTCAAATTTTTAATTTAACTCTGCCTCCTCAACGTCAATCGCCAGAAATTGCATCTGTATTAAGGCAACAACATCCAAGAATCGACTCGTATCAATATATGTAATCAGGAAAAGGGAAGCCAAAAAAAAAAAACGCATTTGACCTTACCAACTAATCAACTTGCTCAACGGCAGACATTTCAATTTTGCTCGATTCCTCAACATTGGAATATTGGGAATTTAACCCTTTTCTACCCTGATCAACTTCTGTTGGCATATCATCTAATACCTTTGAGAGACTAGCTTCATGCCCTGAAAATATCAATCCATCTCCGTCAGTGTTTATATGTTTATGACTTTAGTTGTTCATCAACATTTTGAATCTTCAATCATTTCATTCTACTTACCTCCTACAGGTTCCAGTATTGAATGCTCTCCATCTTTAAATTCATTTTCCTCCGTACTTGGAGACAAATTTCCTTGTCCATTCTCTCCTGAAATTGACCTGGACCGCTGTCTCCCATGATGCTTTGAATTTTCAGCTACTGATCCATTATCTATGTCGGTAACATGAACACGATGCTTATCTTCAGGAGATAGCGACCTCCTTCTATGTTTAGATTCATTTTCATCAGAACTGGTAGGAGACAACCTGGTCGTTCTTTGATGCCTATCCCCAGGAGATATAGATCTGGATGACCTTCTATCATAATGTCTGGGCTTTTTATCTCTGCTTCTATCTGATTTCTCCTTCCTGCAATGCTTACCATCAACAGATCTTGACCTGGATCTTCTTCTGCTACGATGTCTTACCTTTTCATCTCTAGTGCTATCCAACTTATTAACAGTGAGATGTTTACTATCTGAAGAACTTGACCGTGATCGTCTTCTACTACGATATTTCAATGAGGTCTCCCTAGAGTTGGATCTGGACCGCCTTCTATGTTTAGATACATTCTTGTCCATGCTTCTAGGTGATGATCTTCTTTTATTATGCTTGTCTTCAAGTGAAGCAGATCTTGACCTCCTTCTATCCCGATTCTTTGATTTTCCATGTTGCATTTCATTAGTTTTTTCATCAGAATGATGCTTAGTCTCAAGAGATTTAGACCTTGATCGTCTTCTACGTTTTAGTTTGTCAACATCATCATTTCTTGGAGATGATCTGTTTTTCCCGTGATGACGACTTGGTGATCTTAAATCTGAATGATCTGATTTCCTACCTCTTTGGGGTGAACGTTCCCTTGGGCGATTTGGAGAGTCTGAATCTGCTCTGTATGATTTTCTTCTGCGAGGACTGATGCTTCGGCTTCTATTTTTCCTTGAGATGGGTGAGCGATGACTTCTTGATCTATCTAGATCTCGCCGTCTAGATCTTTCACTAACATCTCTTGCTTCTCTATAAGACCTCCGGTCATCTTCAACTCTATAATAATGGCGAGATCTATGATCTCTTGAGTGATGATATGGAGGTGAATAAGTTGGTGATCTCCGCCTACTTCGGTACTTCATAGGTGATTTTGATTTGGATTTTGACCTCTCCCTGGGCAAGGAAGGTGACCTACAGAAAAGAGGGGGGAAATCAAAATTATCTTATTAAGATGGAAAGAATTCAATTCAAAGAACGTAAAACCTGGACTTTAAACACATGACATATAACACAAGAAAAAAGGCATACACTAGAGAGTTTTCCTTCCTAGCAAATCAAAAGTGTGGAGAAAAGGGAAGATATAACGCAGTTGATATTTTATGATAAATGATTGAATTTACCTAAGCCATCAATGCTCATTGTTTGCTAATTAAAGTATCTTGAATTTGTTCAAGAACCCGAGGTCCTTTTTTCTATTTTATTTTACTGGAGATGGTGCAGGATTAGTTGTTACAGTATACCATACCTTGATTTTTCTTTTGTCTCAGTTTCTTCATCCCCAATTCCATCAACTTTAAGTCTTTTGCTTATTTCTGCAGCTCTAGCTGCTGCCAACTCTGTTGCAGACTTCATAGTTGCTGCACGATTAGCGGCCTGCTGAGCTGTCACAGTTTGCTGCATCAACAAAGCCTGCTGAAATTGCATTTGTTGCATGGCTACAGCTTGCTGCATCATCATTGGCAGAGAAGATGAAGCAAGTGAAGGGTTCATGGCAGCTGGTTTCTGTGGAAGTGATTTTGCCATCTCTACATTCAAAGGCCGACCTCCAACATCCATATTGTTCAATGCCAACGCAGCAGTAGCTTCTTCAGGCTTTGAGTATTCTATGTAAGCAAAATGCTTTGAATCAGTAATGGTACATTCAACAACAGTTCCACAAAAACTAAAAAGTTGTTTCAGCTGTTCCACGGTGAGAAGTGGGCTAAGATTGCTAACTTGCAGCGTTCTCTTCAGTGCATCAGCAGCCTTCCCAGATTTGTCAGATGAACCTTGCCAGAGAAGCATCAACAAATAACAAGAAGTTCATTAAGAAAATATATGGTATATGTAATCTAGGAAGTTACAAGAAAGTACACAAGAGAACCAAAACACAAACAAATACACTTGAACACAACATAAGATGCATTTGAGGAGAGAAGCACAAGCACAAAAAAAAAAAAAAAAAAAAAAAAAAAA